ACTTAGAATCTTTTGTGCCGCTAACCATATTTATGATACTAATGATACAATTACCATAAGTCCTCACTTAACTTTGTCCATAGGTTTTGGATCTGGGACTTTAAGAAATGACGTATAAAGAAACTAATTTTACCTTAGGCTACTTGATATAAACAAGAGTTTAGTTGCTATGGCATATTTCTGGTCACAAAAACATCACCAAACTTCTATATAAGACCCTAAAAACTAATATTAAACCTTGAAATAAATGTGAGCTATACATAATTTAAGAAAGAATAATAAAAACAAGTAAGATACCTAATTATTTTCCAAACTGCTTATTCAAATTCAGGGTGGAGGGTGACCAGAGTCTATCCTGGCAGCTCTGTCACACTCACACTCACTCACATGGGGACAGTTAAGATGTGTCAATTCATGTAACGTGCACTACCTTGGGATGTGGGAGGAAACCAGAGCACCTGGAGAAAACCCACTTGGACATGGACATGCAAACTGATGCAGACAGTAGCCATGTCTGGGAACTGATTTTTCTCCCCTCATCAATATTATAATGAAACAACCTTTCACAAAACAACATTATTCAAGGACCTGATGTATAGTGAATTAAAAGTAATGCTTTAAATACATTAGATTATATTTTTTCCTTATATTCTTTTCAAAGCTAACTTTCCCCCTAATTTTCAAGTAGGCTGTCTCATAAATTAACAGATTTTTATACTAAAACAAAGTAAATCTCTGGGTTATTGAATATTATTGAAGAATTCTTTAAAATTAACTAATGTAAGTTGACTTGCTGCTTTTATAACATTCAGTGAATAGCTGATATTTAAAGTTTAGACATTAATATTTTTAGTGTGTTTTTTTAAGTGAAAGTGAAAGAATATATGTTACAAGGATTTCTATTATATTGTTTATTACAAAGTATACTATATACAATTAAAAGAGCCTGCATGTGCATGGCCCCTCAAAAATCCAAATTAATATTTCTCCCAAATCCAGTTTTTCTGTAAAATCAATCATTGCACTTTACATCTTAAAGCTTCTCAGACTATTTACCATTTCTTCAAATTACGGATGTTCATAACTAATGCCTGAATGAAGTGACAGTCTTCACATAGAAGGAATAAATTCATGAATCATGGCTCACTTACATTTTAATTTCAAAAAATTAATCATTGGATGTAAAACTTTAATGAATGAAGGCTGTTTTTCCCTAAAATGTTAGAATGTCAAAAAGTTTTGAATTTCAGTGCAGTGAGCCAGATTCACCAACCATTTCCATGTGATAATGCTTGAATTAAAGCTAAGCAGCCTTAATCAGAATAATAGTAGATAGCCTCCACAAAAAGCCTATACGAAAGTGCATCCAGTAACTTTGTTATTCTTTCCCTCTAAAACTTAACATCTAACTTACACATTAAAAAGCTTTGTAGCTAATATCACAAGATGCAATTTTCTAAAATAGTAGGAAATAGTTAACACATACTTTTAAAATGTATTTAAACTTATATCTCATGCAAAAACTATTAATTAGGACTCATTGGGTACAGAAATTATCTGGACAATGAAATGATTGATTGATATTCTTAAATTGCAAATCAATAAACCACTGTCATTTAATTTTGCATTAACTTTCTTGTGTTACTTTTGGAAAGCTGTATCTCATGGTTTATGATGCCTTAAGGGTATTTTGAGATGTGTTATTCAGATTCATTTAAACACCTGAGTATTAAAACAGTGGTTATGAACTATAGCTTCACATTGGTCATGTCAAACATATTGGCCAGGCCTCAAACCCAGGATTTTGATTAAATTAGCCTGAAGTAATCTTTTTGAAAAGTTTCTCAGGTTATTCCAAAGTGAAGCTACCTTTGAGAACCACTAAATGGGAAGCTTTGGGAATAAGAAAAATGTTTTGCTCGTAGTACACTGGAACCGATTTCCAAGAGAGAGAGAGTCTGAATAGACTATATTTAGCTAGCTCCAGGAATGACATTTATTATGCCATGACTGAGCCAGTAATGTTTTGAAGTTCTTCCTAGTTCTCTGATTCTAAGATATTATAGTGTTCTTTCCATGTCAATAGTTATTTTTTCTTTTTTCTTGATAGAGTGCATCGTGACTCACCGATTTTTAAAATGTGCCTGTGAATAATATGATGGAAACAAGCTATGGGGAGATACATCCATTCTTTCAAAGATTCATTCTCTGTAACAATAAGATATAATCCATGACATTGCAACAGAACCCTTTGAAAAGTTAAAATGACATCAACAACAACATGAATACCATCAACATTGAGTCCACGTGTAGTAATGACAAAAAATATAATGACCCAAATTGAGAGGTAATGAATCAATGATGTCTTCTTGGAAGCACTGTTTTAGGATAAATTCAGAAGGAAGTGATGGATTTCAAGTCGACAATGAAATTCAGGTCAACAAAGGGGCTCTGTGTAAACGCCACAGTGAATAAAATGTGAATAAGCTGTGGTCCTCACTGTGGAGGCATTTGATAGAAGTAGGCCCATCTAAATCTAAGACAGAGGAAGAGCATGCTGTGCGGGCACAGCAGAGGGTGGGTTTATATCACTTACAACACTGTGGGCACCTTCATGGGCAGAAGGAATTTCAACTAAGCCTTGCAGTGGTGGAGGAGAGTGAGTGGGAAGGTGAATAACTGCCTTCCAACATACTTATTGACATAAGTAACAATATGGCAACACAACATTTTCGGGGACGTTCAGGGAATTAATGCACAAGATGAACGAAAGAGGCATTTCATTTGGGCAAGAACATTCATTCGTGCTTGGAGAAGTAAGAGCCCTGTTCACCAGACTAGGTAGAGAGAAGGGCTGAAGGGAGAGGAAGGAGGAAGGAGGTTTGCCAAGTTCGGAGGGCAGGGGGGCTCTGAGAGGTAGGTGCTGTGAGGAGTTTCACATCCACGCATCCCAAGTAGCAACATTCCCAAAGGATTCCAAACATAGCTGAAACAATATTAGGCCCCTTAATACCTGGCCTCAACCAGTCACTTGATTGTGTTAACCGTCTCAAATGAGGCCAGACTGGACATAAGTTAATCTTTAGAAGAAAGGAAGTCACAATCCTCAGAATTTTATTTTAAGGAATAAACTTGCAGAAAATCCTTTCATTCCGGTCCTAGGAGGCTGTCATTCAGTACTTTCTCAGCTCCTTCCAAGGAGAAACAGCAGACTTCCTTATTCTTAATTTATATACCTAATCTGTTATCCAGCTACTCAATGTAATATTTTTATCAGATGCTTCACTGAAACATGTATTTCTATTTACTTAATTATTATTATGTTTTTAATGTCAAGATCTTTTTTATCCTCTATCCTGAATTCCTAAAAAAAAAAAAAAAAAAATACACTAGAGACGGGGGAAAAAAATCACTGTATAAAAGGTAATTAGCACGTCCTCTCCTTTTTATAACTTTATAATTGAAATCTCATTAAAAGCTTTCTAGGTCTCCTCTCCCTTAGTGACCAGGTGTCCCTAATTTGTTTTTAAACTAATGTGACTAATTCCAGGCAAAGACTAGAAAAAGTCTGATACCTGTTAGAGAATAGCAAGAGCAAGGTTAAATAAGTGGGGTGGCTTTTTAGGTTGCCTTTAGCCTTGTTTTTTTTTGTGTTTTTTTTTTTCCTCCTTTCTTTT